CTAACCCTAACCCTATCCTGTACTAACCCTAACCCTAACCCTAACCCTATCCTGTACTAACCCTAACCCTAACCCTATACTGGTCCTGGTTATACATGTAGAATTCATGTCTGCAGGTTGTTTATGATGCGGGTGTTTTCTTTGGAGGTCTGGAGGTACTGTGAAGGTATTATGAAGGACCCTTAATTAAATCTGATCATTCTGCTCCTTTTAGTGAAATCTACAGGTAGAGTGCGTCATTTTGGTCAGTTAATACTTATCTGTACAGTTTTGCGGGATGGCTGAGGGACTTCGGTGCTCAGTCATCACTTGTGGGCAGCTAAGGAAACATCTCTGCTGTAAGCCTGCTGTGATTCCTCTCATTTCAGGGGAAAAAACTGAGTGAGACACATAGATCGGGGTGATTTTCTACTGCTGTTAACTCATATGGAGAGTGCATCTGGCAGCAACATGAAAGAATGAGCTATCAGTATCTCTAAACATATTTTCCACTAGGGCAAAGCAAAGGATTGCATGTACTGCATTGCATGTAGAAGCTTCAAGAAAGGGTGATGCTGTGAGCTTTTCTGTTCTGGTTTAATTGATATGTATACAACTACAGTGTATGCAGAAAGTGCTTCTTCTGTACCACTTTCAGATCACTGTGTTGTTTCTCTCGTAATGCAGATCCTAAAGCCAGATGAGCATATTGCTAAGCAGCGCTACATCGGGGGCAAGAACGTGCTGACCAAGGGCACCCCAGAGTGGGTCTCCTTCGACGTGACTGCGACATTGCGGCAGTGGCTGAAACATCGAGGTGCGTGGAGTGTCTCTCATGAGTGCTCATGTAAAATGGATCAAATCATTCATCTTAGATTACTATGTGTTATAACACCCATCATATTTACTGGTATAACTAGGGGAGTGTTTTGTGGAAATTTTATTAAACTATTTGAGAAAGACTGTCATTTTTTGCCCCTAAATCAAAACCAGAAAGCAGTTGGGGTGGAAATGTGAGTGTTCTCCCATGATGCTCAGAGCTCCTATTTCCCTCCAGAAACCAACCTGGGCCTGGAGATCAGTGTCCACTGCCCCTGCAACACTTTAGACCCCAACGGCAACATCATCAAGAATGTGAAGGAAGCACTTGATGTCAAATTCAAAGGTCAGACAAAGCAGATAGTAAATGAGGGATCTGTCAGCCCTCCAGCCCCTAGCAATCAGCAAACAGTTTCTTCTTCTTTTACTGTTATTCATGGGGTAATAAGTGAGGGATGATAAGGAAAACAGAAAAGCACATGTTGCTTTGATATCAGGGCTTTTCTGAGGTGTTCATTTATCATCAATCAAAATGTATTAAACTAAGGAAGCATACATTTTTCCAAAACTGTCCAAAAAGAATTTGTGTTGTACCAGGACTGGCCATCGGTGAGCCTCTCTGGTGAGGGCGGGTCTTTCTACCCCAACCCTGGCATTATATAGCCGTTATACCAGGGCTGGCCATCAGTGGGCCTCTCTGGTGAGGGCGGGTCTTTCTACCCCAACCCTGGCATTATATAGCCGTTATACCAGGGCTGGCCATCGGTGGGCCTCTCTGGTGAGTGCGGGTCTTTCTACCCCAACCCTGGCATTATATAGCCGTTATACCAGGGCTGGCCAGCCCGTTGGTCGATCTCATCTGGTTCCAGGTCAATTGCAGGAGATTAATGGATCATGCTGAATACCATTGGACCTCACCCCCCTGCCGGCAGCAAAATGTACCAAGGGAGACCCTCGCCCCTCAGTCAGTGGCAAATTCCCAAGTTGCTTTATGCTGCCGATCCGCCCCTGGTATAAACAGCACTCCATATTTTATATTCCAAAGGGAGGCCCCCACCCTGGTCAGTGGCAAATTCCTGAGCTACTTTATGTTGCTGATCCACCCCTGGTATAAACAGTAGTCTGTATTCCGTTTTCCGAAGGTCTTGCAGAGCTCTTACAAATCTGCAGAGTTACAAGCAGTTTGAAGCCTTTTCACTTGCTGCTCTACTAGGGCAGCCCTGTGCCCTGCTGAGGCCTTGCTGCTTGCCCCTGGATCACTGAGGCTTCTCCGCCACATCTCTCTCCCTTCCTGGCAGGGTCACCCATGCCGATGAGCGGAGGGGTTGGCCACAGGTGGCTTTGAGTGAGTGCGTGTGAGTGAGTGTGGCACACAAATCCCCAGAAAAACAGATGGCTCTACAAAACATATATTTTTTTTGCACTATTTCCCTATTTACTGATACTGCCAAAACTGCTTGTTTTTTGCCAAATTTGATCTATTATGATGTCTGCTGGGTTGTGGCTTGAAGTCAATTGTTGCATTAAAGTGAAATCATGGTTCCTAAAGTTTCCCCAAAGAGAAATGTGGTTCTGTGTGGAGAGTGCGGCAGCCATGAACCTCTCTGCTGTCACACAGGGGTAGAGGTCGACTACGATGAGCATAGTGACCTGGGCCAGCCAAAGCGGTCCAAAGAGCAGAACTCACCCCACCTGATCCTCATGATGCTGCCCCCCCACCGCCTGGACAGCCGGTCCTCATTGCGCAGGGGCAAGCGCGCCCTGGACACCAGCTACTGTTTCTCGTAAGCAGACACACTGCATGCTTAATATTCCGGTTTTATTTTCATCTTCTTGTTTAGCCACACATACACCAGCATTACACAGTTTTTGCAGGTTGAAATATCAAGTGCCTTAATGGACCATTGAGTGTAATCACTGGATGTGGCATGTAGACACCTTATAAAGATAAATGGAGATGAAGATAAAAACTCCACACTAAATGAGGGAACTGAACAGGGTCTGAACCACGGGCATCATGCAAGCATGACCAAGTCACGAGTGACATCATGCAAGTCGAGACTTCTTTATTGTACTGTTTCTGTGTCGGCCCATAAATCTAGCATCAGCACCCCCACGTCATAGTCAAATTAGCAAGAATTATTATGCACCTGGTCCCACAGGTCTGTCAAGTTTATGCGCTCAGCCGTGGCACTTGGGAGCCTTCAATGATCACCAAAAGTCACACAAGAATGTAAATATGGTTGCTAGCTTTTACGGCAGAAAGGAGACACTCGAAAAACAGTACATCTGCGCTTTTGAATTTCATTGTTTTATTTCTCTTCTTGTCTGCAGGAATTACGAGGAGAACTGTTGTGTACGATCCCTCTACATAGATTTTCGCCAAGACCTGGACTGGAAGTGGATACACGAGCCCAAGGGCTACTACGCCAACTTCTGCTCTGGTCCCTGCCCCTACCTCCGGAGTGCCGACAGCACTCACAGCACGGTCAGAACTCCAGGGGGCCTTTCACAAATCCCCAAGCATGCATACACTGTACTTATCTCTTTCAGTATTTCTGCTTGCTAATTTACACCAAAGCTAACATGTCATCGATCACCAGGTTATCGTTTCACGCCAGCTCATGCTAACGTTTCTCATGCCTGTTGGCTTACGTGAGTAAGTTAGTGCAAGTGAATGTAACAGGAGTTTTATTGCATCTTCCAATCCAGTTAAGTGAGTTTACACAAACCATTGTAGCAGAAGCACATGGAATACATTTCCCATGAAAAACAACATGAAGAGCAGAAGTCGTATTCCAGTCTATTGGGTTAACAAAAATCATACATTTTGTTTCTGCATTTTGCTTCCTAGTAATAGCCTCTGAAATGTAGGTTACGGATAATACAAGGTACAGCCATCCATCTATTTTCTCACCACTTATGCTCAGGATTGTGGATGAGGTCCAGTTATTGAAGCAAAAACTTCAATAAACCTCACTATGTCCACTAGACATCAGAGGTGGACATTTCATGTCCATAAAGTAAATGTCCAGTCCAGTACTCTTTGACTTTGATTCTTTATACTCAATTGGCTGTAACAAAATCTTAGTCTGGAGTTTTACTTTATAGACTTGAATTGTCCGGCTCTACTGGACATACAGAAGAGCCCCTGATTCTGTAAAGCTTCACATGTGTAAATGAGCTCTTGTGTTGGTGATGCCCTTGCAGCTGCTGAGCCTGTACAGCACCCTGAACCCCGAGGCTTCAGCCTCACCCTGCTGTGTGCCCCATGAGCTGGAGCCCCTCACCATCCTCTACTACCTGGGCCGGACGCCCAAGGTGGAGCAGCTCTCCAACATGATCGTCAGATCCTGCAAGTGCAGCTGAGGGCACTGGTCCCACTGCAAGATGAATACCTCAACATGCCGCCTCCCCACCCCAAGCTCTCACTCTTCCCAACACTATCTATTAGGCATAGCACCCCACCTCTGACCTTAAGGACAACACATCGCCAGCTGCTCCGCTCACACACGGACCTCCCTGCCCAGGTGCTCGGGTCCTCAGTGAGAAATCAGCATGAGGATTTGTCCCCAACTCACAAATCCTCATTCTCAAAGTTTTCTTTTTTTACAGTTGCCGAGTATTATAACTGTACTTTATTCCTTTGGACAAACTCTGGGCATTTACTACAAAAAAATCAGAAAAATGGAGGGAAAATGTTTGCACCACCCTGCTCAGCAGAGCTGCTGGATTACGAGCATTGCTGTGGTCGTAAGAAGAGAAGATCTTTCGAGGAGCACCCCCAGGGCTGACTCTACACGAAGGGGCGAAGGTGACTGTTCTTCGACCAAAGTGTGGTACAGCCATGGGAAAATTGTTTTTCTGGGAGCGCTGACTTAAAGCCTGTGTGTGCAGAGGGGTTCATCATACTGGAAACCACCAGCACTGTGTAATCCAAGAGCCAAACACTGTTCATCTGCGAGGTTATCCGGTGGACTCTAATAGTCTTAGGAAAAAATGCAACATGCTGGAAAAAAGACATTTGTTGAAACACAATCAAAACTGTATATGTTGTCATTGTTGAGTTTACCTCTGTTGTAACAGATTTTTTAGGGATTTTTAGTTAATAAATAAAAGCTGGCGTATACTGTTGTACAATTTATGTCACCTTGTGAACGTTTCACTTTTCCAAATTGTTTTTTGTCGCTATTACCCCAGAAAACACTTTTTATATTAAAAACTGATCTTTGACACATTGCTGTGACATTTTTTCCATCACTGGTTAAACTAGGGCCACAGAGGGAGGCTAACCAGAGAAAGCTGGGATTTGAACCCACAACCTTGGAACAGTGAGGCTACAGACAGAGCTCCCCACTGAGCCGGCCACATACTCTGGCACTGGAAGAGCATCAGCTCAAACTGCCACAGCTTACGGGATCCTGTAGTTATATCAGCATGTTTACCAGAACAGGGCCGCAAACCCATGAGGGATTAATGCCAATCACAATCCACTGTTTTTTGAAAGGAAAAAGAACGTATATGAAGTTGTTAAAGTGTATGCTACAGGGACAGAGTGTATACTACAGGGACGGAGTGTATACCACAGGGATAGAGTGTATAATACAGGGACAGAGTGTATACTACAGGGACGGAGTGTATACTACAGGGACAGAGTGTATACTACAGGGACGGAGTGTATACTACAGGGACAGACTGTATACTACAGGGACAAAGTGTATACTACAGGGACAAAGTGTCTGCTACAGGGACAAAGTGTATACTACAGGGATACTACATTATATTACAGCAAACACAAATATAAAATAAAGAAGACATGGTACAGTATTACAGCAGCAATAGAATGACAGACTAAGCTCGAAATTTAGATTTTATTTTGTTAATGAATCCTACATTGTTATGTCTTTAAGCTTTCAAATTTGTTGGTTTTGATAGTGTCTTGGATGGAGATCTCAATAAAAGATTTTCAACATAATAACACTTTTCATTAAATATGATGATTGTACAGCAGTAAACAAAAGATGCTGATGTGAAAAGCAGAATCATTCGGCATATAAGCGTGACGCATACATTGGCATGGTAGGGGCGGCACACAGGCCCAAACACGGGGTCCTTCGCCTGCCAGAGTGTCTTTCAAAGCTGCTTTATTGGAGGTTCAGGGAGTTCACAACATACTCTGCCTCAGGCTTTACCCAGAGGGCTGAGTGGCTGCTGGCCGGGGCCTGTCATCAAGTTAGTTGACAAGCAGAGGGGGAGCAGGGTCAGCCAGCCGGGCGGCAGCCCTCATTGGGCTCCGACGGGGGGGGCGTCACACGGGGTTCACCAGTGCTGCTCCACAGGGGCTCCAGGTCAGGCGAGATTTAAACACACTATCGAAAGGTCTGGGAAGTCTGCTTACCTGCTGTTGTTTCTGTTCATTAAGGATAAATGTGTTCCGTAAGAACATAAAGATCACAGAAGTGTAATTTTTGCTGCTTGTCTGAGTGCTGAAAGAGGAAGGCCCTTTTTTCCAGGAGTCTCACATCTCACACAGCTGCCTCTCTTTGCTCCCCATACGCTGAGCTGGCCCAGCGCCAGAGGAATCCCGGTCTGGACAGGCTGCTAATGTTTGTGCTCCCAAACAGTGTCCCCTTTCATAGGCCTTCCTGGGCCCTGTTTGTTTTTCAGCGCAGCCGGAGAGAACAGCAGCTGCCTGGCCTCTGATCAGCTGCACATCCCTGCATTTCCCAGGTATGCTTTAAGGCCATCATTAGCTGGGATCATTTGCTTTATATTCTTGGCAGATTTATTTATGGCAAATTATGCTGGTTAAAGGTCAGGTTTTAAATACTTTTCCTTTAAATACCTTTTAAGTGTACAACATGAATATCTTATGGTTTGGGAAAAAAAGTTTACGTATTTATGCATCTTTTTTGCAATGACCAATTGAATTTTAAATATAACTTTAAATATTTCACTTGTCTATATTATTGGATTAGTGCACAATACAGCATTTATTATTCTGTGTACCCTGGCATGATAACAGAGATGAAACTTGTTTTAATGAAAAGTGCATTATAAATAAAATTTATTATTATTATTATTAACACCGTCATTATTGTTTTCTTTTAACCTCATTTTAAATAAATGTTTGATGCCAGAAAAGTAAACACTGCATGTATATCAGGAAGCAGGTATGAGATAAGACCAGATAAGTTAGATACATCAGCTATGCTTGATGTCGTGAATTGGGAATTTTGTGAATTTATAGATTAATGCATTCATCTTTTCTCCTGTCTTGTTGAGCTTTGGCAGGACGGAGCCCAGCCTACCTGTTTCACAAATGACCTTCAGTCAGTACTTCTGTCTTTCCCCTAATCTGAGCTGGGCCCCACACAGTAGGACTCTGTTCCTTGTGGTGGATCCAAGCGCCGTGTCTGCTGGTCAGCACATCGGCAGCACACATTCTGTGAACAGCATTAAGAGAAGCCTGGCCTTTTCATACTACATGCTGGCCTGTTATCTCCAAAGAATACCACAACATTTATGACACTCAGAGGTTGCTCTGTGAAGATGGGTTTTCAATCACTGATGTGCGTACAGGGTCTTCAATAAGGCTGGCCAGCCTCCACGTGTCTGCTCAGCAAACAGAAGCTTCCCTGCTGTACAGGTGCAGTCTGGTCACAAGCTGCAGCTAGACAGCAGTCAGGAAGGCCTGCTGCACAGGCGCGATATCCTAACCTTCCTGCCCTGAGGTGTGGCTAGACAGCAGTCAGGAAGGCCTGCTGCACAGGCGCGGCATCCCAACCTTCCTGCCCTGAGGTGTGACAAGACAGCAGTCAGGAAGGCCTGCTGCACAGGCGCGGCATCCTAACCTTCCTGCCCTGAGGTGTGACAAGACAGCAGTCAGGAAGCCCTGCTGCACAGGCGTGGCATCCCAACCTTCCTGCCCTGAGGTGTGGCTAGACAGCAGTCAGGAAGGCCTGCTGCACAGGCGCGGCATCCCAACCTTCTGAGTCCAAGTTGTGAGTAGACAGCCTTTAGGAAAACCTAGCCTGTGATGATTGCCAGTCGCAATATGCATATTTGGAGAGCACTGCAGTCCTGCTGGATTGGAGTTTCCAGATCAGGCTGACAGACATGCAGTGCACACATCTCAACATCACTCTGCTGCTGCAATAAAGTCAATGGGTCCCTTTCTTGGGCAACGGACTAGAAAGAGCTGAACAAAAGAGAGAGGAGAAAATAACAGCTACCCACTTATAAAAAGAACCTTGTCTGCCAGAACTATCATTAGTATCACTATTTAGTTGAGATATTTTTTGTTATCTAAGGTCAACTAAAATTACCTGCTACATAAAACACACTGAGCCAGGAACGACTGAATAAGAAAATTAATGTTTGGATTAGTTATTCAAGCTTTGCACAATGTGCCAGTAAACCTGGTATGCTCCTTGATGGAGGCACGCCTGTCTGAACATCCATTGGAGGTGCAGGAATCATGTGACTGCAGCTTTGGAAACCTCCTGCTTACTTACATGCTATACTTGTAAGTTTTATTACCAGTTTCCCATACAGTACGTAGGGCATTTCACAGGGAAGCCTTGTCTGCTTTAGAATACAGCAATACCAGCCTGTAAGGTATTCAGGGTGACCTCTCATTCACAGCCAGTGCTCAGCATGTGTTTTCTGTTGTAATTTCACCCGCTTCAGTGTGAAAGGTGTGTGGGGTGGGCTGAGGGGGGAGGGCAATACTAAACCGATCCGTCGTGCCACAGACAAAATAGCAGAGTAACGCCCCTAGCAGCTGAAGCCGGCCAGACATGCGAGCCCCCGGGCTGTTAGATTACGGTGACGAACATCAGCCTTCTGCCCCTGGGGGGTAAGAAGGCCCCAGGCAGCCCCTGACATACCCAAGGCAGCCTGGATAATAGTCAGGGCTACTGTATTTGTGGCATTTTGCTTTACTACAGCAAAAACACATTCCAATGTGTTTCAGAAGATGTCTAACAGTGATGCAGTCACCAGGATGTAGTCACTATGACCTTCAGGAATATGGTTTACATTCAGCACTGCTGTTTGAATGTGGCAGAACAAGTACTAAAGCAATGTGTTGTTAGCTACACTGGATTATATCAGTTTGGCTTTGATAAATACTATTTTCTTATTGGGCCAGAGATGTCACACAGATGTCACACGGATGTCACATTGATATTGATGTGGTAGTCCCAGCAGTTCTAGGGTGATCCAAAAAAAGTTCATGAGACATGACAAGTTTAATTTTGTTCTATGTTTAGCTACTGTTAATTGTGTCAAATTGTAAGACATTTGGTGAACATTTGGAGTGTGCTCAAAGACAACTTAATACATAAAATGAAAATACTGAAAAAATGTATTTCCACCAAACTTTGTACTGCAAATAAATGCACACGGAAAGAACTTAAAATACATATTTTCTCATTTATAGCTGAAAATAGGCCTGTTGGTCTGCATATGCATCATAAAGCTTCATCAGAATGCAAATAGCCGCGGTCTATCTGCTGATTTGGTATTCCTGCACGCTGCCAAATTCCTAGGACTTTGCACTTGGCCAGGTGAGCTGCCTCTTTCAAAGCAGCCTTTTTATCAATATGGAAAATCATCATAAGTCGAAGATCGTCACCAGTGGTTGGAAGATGTGAACTGCACAGTTCATCAGTCCCCTTCCCTAACAGCCATCGTTCAGCACTGCTTATAGTCTTCACCATTCTTACTTCTTAGTTTGCCAAACAATTTATAGCCTAAAATGTGCCAAAACCCTGTTTTGTGCCTGTTTATCACTATTCTTACTTTCTTCTTTGCAGTACAGTATTAGTATTTGTTATTATTCTCCTAACAATATGTAATGCCCTCCTGGCCATCCAAGCCTCACTCTAATGAGCCATGGCTCTTAAATGTATGTCTTGTCTCTCGTTCCAGCCCTTGTGTGATTCACTCTAGCTGCCTCTCGTTCCAGCCCTTGTGTGATTCACTCTAGCTGCCTCTCATTCCAGCCCTTGTGTGATTCACTCTAGCTGCCTCTCGTTCCAGCCCTTGTGTGATTCACTCTAGCTGCCTCTCGTTCCAGCCCTTGTGTGATTCACTCTAGCTGCCTCTCGTTCCAGCCCTTGTGTGATTCACTCTAGCTGCCTCTCATTTTCCTCCCTCGTTAGTCTATGTATAAAAGGGCTCCCCAGTCCTGGCATTAACGTCAATTCTGTCTGTGGCTCATCTCTGTACTC